TAAATTTCGGAAGAAAGGTATCTGATTTGTCTTCTAGCGCAAGACTGATATTGTTGTATATTTAAGCAGTTTTTAGTAGTAGATTGTAGGTATGAAGTAGTTTCTCTATTCGACACCGTCAGACTATTTTCTCATCCCGAAATTGAAATCCAGTCTAAAAAATCACAGATTTTCTAATATACAGAGCATTCAAAAAAGTATGACAACGGAACTTCGATGTATATCTTCAAATGTGTATGAAGCCTGTTTCAATAACTTGTATAGTTGCGCACCAAAGTATATAGATATTGAAAGTGATTAATTGGAAGGATATCAAAGTAAATGTTCATTTCCGTTATTTGTTTCTTAGCACTAACCTCATTCCTGGAACTTTTTGTACGTTCTGGTGGAAATTGAAGACATGCTGAATGCGTAGTACTATGGAGAATTATCATGGGAAGAAAATATTTTCAAACTGAACAAGACTGTGTCTATATTCATTCAGTATATACCTTCAATGTAGGTATTACGTTAAATCAGTGCAGTTTTGTGATAAGCGTAACCTATCAATTCTCAATTACATACGTTATAAACATACATATAGATGTAGAATATTTGTCTTGTTATGTTATGACATGCTTTCTGAACTTCAAATCTAAATCAGCTGCAACTGTAAAAGGATTTGCGCGAAAAGCGTCTTTTTCAACTCAGTGGGGTACATATTTAATTGGTTTAGATTTGATTAACTCATGGTCCAGGGCAGCTGGTGAATTATCTGCAGAATATATTGCATAACTTTGGTAATATGTGCCGTAAAGCGATTCTTTCTAAAATGAACCTAGTTAATGCAAAAAGGCAATAAAAGGCGCCTGAAAATGGTAGGGTTTGGCAACCTCTCCAACTTTCCAAAGCAACCCACGTAACGGATTTTTTTCCTGCTCTTTGTTGAATTCTTCAGTTCTGGCTTTATAAGCGGCAAGCAGCTCGCTGTTCTTCGCAGCTTTAGGTTTGTGGGCAGGACATGTGACTTCAGAATACTTGGAACAGTTTTCAAACTTGATCACTAATCATAATTACACACGAAAAGCTGGTGTAGGTCTTGAATGATGCTTTTGTATGCATGAAGAAATTTGTCGAAAACAATTTCTTTGACGGACTTGTAAACTACACGAAATAAAGAGAGTTTGAAGTAATTCAAGTAGATATGAAATGCTAAAAATTTTAGCACAGTGCTTCATCTATACAATGTGGTGGGTAATACATTGCAGTCGAATGTGCCTAGTCATAGCATTGCAGCCAGATACATTCGATTGCCATTGATCTCATTGCTAGATAACGTATAAATCACTATTTTCGTTCCTTCAATGAGACTTCTGTAATAACTGTAATATTCTCTGATTGATCTCTCCGAATGTTTTTAGTGTTGTTATTATGAACAAACAAGTACTACTTGATTATTATGTTTTTAATGTTGTTATTATGAACAACTGAACTTGTTATTATGGATAGTTGGACTTGTTGTTATTATGAACAATTGAACTTGATTGTTATTGTTTATGAACTTGATCTACTACTTGATTCTTATGTTAATGCACAATCAAGTACACTTCTACAATCAAGTATTATTGTCGTGTGAAAATGGTTATCTAGCTAATAGCATACGAAATCCTAATCGTGTTTCTACGATACGATAAATATTATTTAAACTGTTCATGGTGTTCATTCTTGTATCTACTGCAACTCTAATCTGTATTCTATTGTCTACATACACTGGTGCACAAAAATTAAGGACGAAGTCGAAATATTAGCATATCAGCTGAAAAGAGGCAGAGCGGACAGAAAGACCAATCAGGAGATTAAATAAGGTGATGTACGGTAGCACATGCGCAGATATGCAGGTAGACGTAATGGGGGAGTGTCTGAGTAGTATAAAGCATGTTGTCGGTGTAAGATCAGTATTTCTGGCAAAGAGATTGCATGCCGTATAGCAGTTAAAATCACACCCAGTTGCTGCCTCAGCGAGAAATGGCGAATAATCAATCTGTTAGACAACATCTGGATGCTTTTACCCGAGGTCGAATCATTGGGAAGTTGGAGGAAGGCCGCAGTGTGACAAGTGTCATGGAGAGTTCGGAATTGCTCACAGCATCGTTTCACGACTTTGGAGACAATTTCAAACGACAGGAACAGCAATCCGGGTGTTTAGTAGTGGTCGTCCACGAGGAACCACACCCGCAGATGACCGGTATATTGCCTTACAGGCCAGAAGAAACAGGCGGCAGACAGCGGGAGAAATCGCTAGACACACTTCACAGGCGAAAGGACGACCGATATCGCTTTTTACCGTGGCCAGAAGACTGCACGGTGGTGGTCTGTTTGCACGACGCCCTGTACGGTGTGTACCTCTAATGCCTGCCCATCGGAGAAGGCGTTCTCTGTGGTGCCGGGAACACCGGAATTGGAGAGACAATGAATGGGGACGAGTACTCTTTACAGATGAGAGCAGATTCAGTCTGAGTAGCGATTCTCATCGCATACTCATCTGGAGAGAGCGGGGAAGCCGCAATCATCCATCGAACATCATTGAAAGGGACAGGTATGGAGGTGTCGGTGTTCTCGTTTGGGGAGGCATCAGGCTTGGTAGTCGTACGGATCTTCACATCTTCGACGCAGGTTCAGTCAACGGGACCCGTTATTGTAACGAGATTCTTCTTCCATATGTGCGTCTTTTTAGAGGCACTATGGTTCCGCAGTTCCTTTTCATGGACGACAATGCACCATGTCATCGCACAGTAGCTGCCGAACAGCTCTTAGAGAGTGAGGATATTGAACATATGGATTGGTCGGCACGATCTCCGGATCTCAATCCCATCGAGCATGTGTGGAATTTTCTAGGCAGACGCTTGGCAGCTCGTACCTTACCACCAGTAAGTAACGATTCCGGAGCTTCGATTGGCGCTGCAAGACGAATGGGCAGCAATGCCTCAACAACTCATTGACACCCTCATTCTCAGCATGGGCAGACGCTGTGAAACCTGCCTAGCAGTCAGGGGAGATCATATCCCCTATTAAAGACCGGATGTTTCTTGCTGGACACCCATCACAGGGATGTTTCGGCCTTCAGTCGCATTGCGCTCCATGCTACTTTTTCAATAAAGCTTCTTTTTATCCCTCTGATTTCTCTTTTAGTAAGTGTTGCTTACATTACTCATGTCCTTACGTATTGGGGATCTTACAGTATTAAATGTGTTGATTTGGAAAGCTTTTGTACAAAGTTATATTGAAAAAACCGTCTCGTCCTTAATTTTTGCACACCAGTGTAGACTTCAATATGACCGTCAAATTCAAAATGACGAAAGTACTAGTTTTTTCGCATCCTTAAATATTATAAATGATTTAATGGGCATCACGTTGTGTATTATCTGTTAGCATATAGATTTGTTCAAAATCGGTAAAACTTTTAATCTTGGTATTTATTAATCTGTTTGGTTACCGTTGTAAACTTTAAGGAGCATACTGATGGATTGAATATAGCAAATTTCAAGGTTTAATTCTTGGTCTGGGAAGTAGTTCCGAGTCAGGAGAAGCTACTGGATGAAAATTTTGCAAAACACTTTTGCAAAAGAACTACAGCGTGGAAGTAATCGCGGTGTTCGAAAAGACATTTGATTGGTTGTAATGTGAAGTGGCTGTGACTTTATTATTTTCCTTTTTTACGTAGTAATTTCACGTCATATCACGCGTACTTCTTCGTGGACGCAGAGTTCGCAACCACCTCAAATGTTAAGGTTTACGTATTGCATTAAAATCCCGAAAATCTCTTCACTTTTCCCCTTCAATAATGTCGATATCACAATAAGCCGAATTAGTAGTTTTCGCAACTCTAGTCAATAAGCCTGCAGTAGGGTGAGAAATCTTAAAAAAAGATCACATTTATTTACAACTATATAAAGGTATTAAGCAGTATTTTCTTATTTTCAGCTTTTAAATAAATTTTATGTCACCCTCTGGCATGATATTTGAATAAATTTAAAACTTCTCTCTCATCTACACTTCATCCTTCGTAATTAGGTAAAGCTTGTGAGTTAAATACCAAGTTCTTATACGGATTCTAATGATCTACGTCAGTGGTGGCCAACCTTTGGCCTATCGCGAGCACACTTCCAAAACATCAACATTTTTGTTAAACATATTTCCAATCTTATGTGATACATCTGAAATATTAATTTTGGCAAATGGGTATGAGATGAATAATAATATTGGTTGAACTTTACAGAAATCAGAGAAGCGGAGTTGAAAGTTATTTTTCAGTGCATTTAGGTTTTCTGAGTATTTCTCTGTTTCAGTTGCCTTGTGGTTATTAATATGGCTTGATAAATTCTGAGAAAATGGGTGGAAATTTTTTCTTTCATCTGATTTATCCACAAATTTAACTTTATCTGAAAAGCAGTTACAGTCATAGTCAATTGAAAAAAAGTTTTTCTTTTCCCTGGAGATCTTCGTTCAGTTTTTTTTAGCTGTTATATCCGTGAGAAAATACAGATCGGATAACCAATTATTACCGTCCAATTCTTTATAACTTTCGTTTCCGGATTCCAAAAACTGCTTTATTGGCGAAAGAAGTTCTACAAATCTTTGAAGTACTTTCCCGCTGCTGAGCCATCTAACATACGTAGATTCTACGTATATCACTTTTAACCCCATCTTGCTGCATATGTGTTTTTCTTTACTGTATAAAAATTAATATGTTTATTATGTATAAAAACATATGTTTTTGTTTTTTACAGCACACAAAAGTAAAAAAATCAAAAAGTAAAGTATAACGTGCTGCATATTTTCTTCTTAAAATTATACTTTCTGATAATGAAGACTAATCCATAAATAAAATTATTGCAAAACACCTGTACATGTTATTCATTTCTATCTGACTACTGTAGTTTAATGTCCTATATGTTATGAGGATTCGATTGTACCTTCAGTGCTAGTATTATTATCATAAATGATTTTTTTTCCTAATGCATATATCTAAAAATAAACTTTTATTTCAGTACTTTGTGAGCTGGCTAGGAGTAGCCGCTCATTCTGCGAACTGAGTGGGCGTACTGAAGCTACCATAGGAGATGTAATTATAGCCCTCGTCGAAATGGGTAAGTTAAGCCTAAAACTGATTTTTAAGTATATTTTTTAAAATATTTCTTCCTAAATTTGTAAATTGCAAAGCAAAGCATAAAACAGGATTATTCAAGAATATAAAAATAAAGTAAGTCCCTGCAATAAAAATATCTCATGTGGACACCACGACTTCTTTGTACGACCTATTAAATTATACAGTCAAAAGTCGTTAATTCGGACACCCATAATCCGGAATGATCTATAATCCGGACCTCAAAGCTAAAATCTTTCTGCGCATGCGCCGCATTGACGCATGCGCATAGGCGTTTTACTCGTGCGCCCAAGACATTTACGACTGCGCAAGTGCAGAATACGTTCTCGCGTGCGCGTTTAATGTATAACGGACGGTATAAGCTAAAATTATCTATTTCAGTTAATGTTGATGATCGCGTTGTTCCTTAATCTTCGAATTGGATCCAGCTTATTATTTTTTGCAGACTGTAAGAGCAATTTTATAAAAGTAAGCTTGAACTTTCGATTATGTCAAATAGAATTTCCGATACTGGAGCTCCCAAAGGATCTACAAAACGAAAGTATGTTTCGATGTCCATCAAACAAAAAGTGGAATTGCTACAAAAAATGGATAAAGACATATCCTTTGTTTATCTAACCGTTCCGAAATCTGTTTATCAATTTCACGCAGCTCTGCGCAAGGGGGGGGACGTCGCAGCGCACAATTAACTGGAAGTTGATCTGTCAGCACTATCCTTATCTTCAGGGCAAATGTTTTTATTTTATTCGGCTTATAATTCCTTACTAAATATTTTATCTCGATGTACTCCGTCTTTGATATGATTTAAATCAAATTCCTCGTCATTATAAATATCAAGAATACAAATCAAATAGTTTTCTGGTTGCAATTTCCTAATTTCGGCTATGCGTAATGTATGCTTTACGCATGCGCGCGTTGAAAGAAATGTTTTAATAAAGTAAACAAATAAATATTAAGCTTCTTTTTTTGTAAAATTTTGATACCCTTTAGATCATAATTGCTCATTATTTTATAAATTACGGTTTCATATTTTTAATTTTATAATTTCTGTATGACATCTTACCAGATTTAAACTGATGATCTATAATCCGGAAAAATCGATAATCCGGAATCGCCGAAGTCCCGACGAGTCCGGATTAAAGACTGTACACATTTTTTGCTGCACATTCATTTAAAAATATTTCCTATAATTCATTCAATACAGTTCTCATTTTGGAGCAAGGCAAAAAAAATACATAAAAACTAACAGCATCTTCATTAAAAATTTTCAAATACAGAAAAACCTAAAACGCCAAATAAAAACTAAAATAACAAAAAATAAAAAATAAATAAATAAATAATAAAATAAATAAAAATTAAAAAAAAAAAAAATCTGAAAGATTTCAGATTTTAAATTACGTCCAAAAAGGGCCGTTTTTTTAACATTTTGTCTGTTACCCTTATTTATTAAATATCACTTTCTTCGCACTTAATCCATAAAATTCAGTTCAAGAGCAATGTCCCAAAATAGTTTTAAATTGAGCATATTTTTAGAATATCCGATACCCAGTCTCACCAGATAAAAAGGTTTTTTTCTGTACAACATTGCCATTGCTTGCTTTGAAATCCTTGAGTTTGTTAATAAAAAATTCGTTAAAAATTTACAAAATATGAAATCGATAATAAAACGAATTCCAAATGTCAAATTTGGGCTTCCACATGCCCATATTTGCAGTAGGATTAAGTCATTCAAAATTCAGTGGCTCTATGTACCGTTGTTTTACCACAATGCGAGAAATATACAAACATTTATGCAGATTTTTCATTATTTAATTTCTTCAAATATAATGCAGGACTAACATTTGGTGGCAAGAGTTTGAAAAGTAAAAAGGACATTTATAGTGAACCAGCGCAAAACCGCAAAACAAAAACTTCTTGGGGCAAGAAGACAAAAAATTTTGGTGCACAAAACTAAAAGTTAACTTTTCATTGCACTGGCAAAATGACGCTGAATTTAATGCACCAAATTCACTGTTCTGCTAAGAGTTTCAAATTTAAAGAAGTGGCGGCCTTGTCAGACTTAACTCGCCACTTAAACTTTTAAATTGTTGATAACTCTATAACTATTGCTTGCAGATGAACTAAAGGCATAAAAACCTTAACCAGGGCGTAACAGCAATGTAATTCAATAACTTTTAAAGCACAAAATACACAATTACTAACATGGGAATCGCACAGCTACATGTTATAGCAGAAGCGTAGCTAGGGGGAGCAAGGAGGAACATCTGTCGCCGGGCGCAGCATCCAGGGGGCGCGAAACTGACACTAAGAAATTTTAGAATGAAATGTGTTCCATTCTTGACAAATAGGAAGGGGGCGCGAAATCTTCAATTGTACCCGGGTGCTGGAAGGGTGGCTTAGCAAATGCGGTCAAGAGCAAGAAACTGACGTTAATTACGGAAGGGGAAAGTAAATGGCTGTGTCAGGTATCCTAAAGGGACATATATTTTAAAAGAAAAGTGTTTTTAGGTCTCATTCAGTATCACAGTAGATCAGGAATAAAATCTTAAATGGAGCTCTCCTCTGTTTTTCACTGTAAGTCAGTAACGCGTACAAGGATGCACACGGTACCGGAATGGAGACAAATTACATAGGATACGAAAAGTTTTGAAGTGCTCTCTTACGTATTTATTAAACAGCATAATAATATAATAATAAATAAATAATTAATATTAATAAATATAATAAATTTATTAATAAATTAATAAAATATGTTTTTTAATAAAATAATACATAAACGTATCAGTAATAAAGTATTTACAACTATTTTAGTAGTAGTAATAATTAGTAAATATCCACATCATTAATGTAATTAATGAAAGGCATTTGAAACCAAAATAGGATTTGCATTAATAAATTATAGTTAAGAATAGTGGCCCCCATTGTTCTGATTATTATTGGAATAATTTAAAGATTAAATCCAATAGTAGCTTAAGATGGTTTTTGCAGTGGAAAAACAAGAATATAACTCATTTTGATTCACCTTTCTTTTCTTTATGATTGACAAATATCCGTTTGCCATACATGTGATCAAATAGGGAGTAAGTGTTTAATCCATAAGATAATAAGTATTGATCAACATTTCCTATAACTACTTCTAATTAAGGCTTCCTAAGAGCAACCCCCTTAATTTTGACTCGCAGCTTTTAATTGTAGACTAGGATATGAGCATAGGATCTACCTTTAAACAATAGGATGTTTTTTAAACACTGTGCATGACAATGCCTAGTAATAATAGTTTTAGAGTCACTAAGAATCATTTCTGGATTCATACTGTTTTTTTTCCAAGAGATATTAAAAGTTGCAATGACGAGTATGAGCATGATAATACCTCCTACCTATATAACATAAGCTACAATAAAGAAATGAACCCCAACAAAAGCGATCGACTGTTATTGAACTCTAAAGAGGGGTTTCAGAGGGAAAATGGCTATTAAAATCCATTTAATTGATTTTAAATATTTATTTCCTGTATCAATTTATTACTAATTGTAATGGTTGGAGTATTTGAATATGAATTAGCTGATATTTAAGAAAATATTATGATGCGAGAATAGAAAAACATTTTTTGAATATCTGCATTCTATTTTACTCAATGAAATCAAAATTTAGTAGCGATTAATTGTCCGTATAATCCTTAGTTAGTGATCGTTTAATGTGCCCTTTTTTAAAAAAAAAATTAATCTTTCAAAAAAAACGCATTGTTCAACTATAACAGGTGGGTGAATAATTCTTAAATCTATTCAAGCAAAAAAAAAATAAGACATAAACGGCTTGGAAATGGAACTAGCACGGACATCTCTAAGAAATATGGTGAAGCTTACAAAAAGTCTACGCAGTGAAGTAAGTCCGAGAATATTTTAACTCTATGATTAAATTGCAGTCGAATTAATAAACAACATGTAATATAATTCAGTATATGTGTGGATGGTGGTTGTGGCTACTAACGGCTGAGCGGTAAAGCGTTGAACTCTGGCAGGTCGATCTGGGGTTCAACGGGATAGCTGTATTGGCGTTTTCATGGTTTCCCCACATGTAATGTGCGTAGAGTCGTTTTGCTTAGAAAGTTCTCCGCGGGCACTTCCCTTAGGCAATAGCCGTCGATGCTTTCTATAATCAAAACAAACAGACCAAACAATAGATATATAAATAAGGCTTAAAAACTGCTATATTTTAGTATATTATAAAGTAGTATTTAAATATATATGATTAAAGAAAAACAAAGTCGGATCTTAATGGATATAATGTTAATGTTCCTAAAGCCTACAATTTTTCTCACTTAAGTTGTACCCAACAAGGAGAACAAGTAAAATAAACTTCAGATGTATATACAAAAAAATACAAAATATAAAAATAAATTATATGTTTACGAAACCTAACTAACCATATATATTGATATTACGTAAACATAGGTATGGTAATGAACTTCGTATAATAAGGATATTTTTCTTTGATATTTTATACCTTGTTCTATATTTTGCTCCGTTTATATATATACCTATACATAGATATATATAGTTTAAGGATTCCATATTAACTACTACATATAAAACCTAAAAGTGCACCAAAAATGTATTTTTAGGTATTATTTGTCTGTTTTGAAGTCTAGTTTGCGTTATTTTATTCATAAGTCTCAAATAAAAAAAAATTATTTTTATATGTCATAAAATTAACCAAAAAAGCAGCGATCACAACGTAATGAAAAACAGTCCTTAACGTGAAAAGGTTGAAGGCCATTTGAATGAAGACATTTTTTCAGATACCGCTATTCACATATATGTAAATAGCATCGAAAGAAACTCATATTACTACAAATCATCATTAACAAATATTCTTTCTACTCTATGGCTAAAAAAGATTTTTTGCCTTACAGTTATCGTACTATATAAATTTTCATTGTACAAAATTCCTTCATTAGAAAAATTCAATTTGTGTTTTCTTGTATAAAATGAATGTAGAGAAGTTACATGTTTAAAGGCCCCCCACATTTTCTCAAGACCCCAAGCAAGATTATCCCCTCCTCGTCAGCTCTCCCCCTGAAAAAAGGGATGGTAAATTTACGACCTGACCACATATGAGGTGATTTCGCTGGAAGCCCTAGCTACGGCTCTGTGTTATAGCAGTCCCATATGCAAAATTTAAATGTTTTACGCAACTCATTTTTGAGTTATGCGAGATATACAAATACACATCATGAAAAAATCTCTTCTGAATCCATTTTACAACCTGTTTCGGAAAAAAGAGTCATTTATTCTCCCTTTATGTACAGTTGTCACACAAAACCATCATTCAACTGGATTCGAGAGCGGTCGAAATGAATACTTTTGTTGAAATATGATACCTGAAATTTTTTACAATTACAACACTTCCTAAAGGAAGTACTTTGTATAAGAAAATAAAACACTTTTGTGTTGCTCAGTAAAGGCAATTGTCAAAAGTTTGCTTTCGTACTTAATTCTCTGAGTGCTTTAATGTGCTTGTAATTTATAGAAATATTATTTGAATAAAACATAAAGTATTGCTGTTTAAATAGCAGGAACATTTTAATTTTTATTAAATTTCATTAGCGTACAAAACTGCCTAAATGCACCACAGAATCAATGTATTTTTTCTCAAGTGTCGAAAATAATATTAACTGATGTTTTGTGAGCCTTTCTTTCAAGTTAAGTGTTAAACATTTTTGTAGTTAGACGTATCTATGACCAACAACTTCAAATATGAAGGTCAGGTAAACAATCTAATGGACACATGTATAATCATAAATATGCATTGAAGGTAAAAATTACACTTTGGAAGTTCAATACATATCAGTATTCCATTGTTGTATGATGTCCATTTTTCACATAACAAATACAACAACATAATGTGTAATTATATGATTTAGAATGAGTAATAGGAAATAAAAAGGAAAATTTAGAGGCCTGTATAGGAGATAATTATTAAATACATATTACTCTCGATCTGTCTTTAATTCTGTCTCGTCGCCAGTATATAGCATGTTAGTTCATGTAATAAGGAATCGAAAAAATAATCCTTTGGAACTATCTCCCTCTTCCCATACTTCTTGTTGACTTGAAGTAATACTCTTCTGCTCTACATAAAATAAAAATATAGCTGTGCATTCTATATTATTTCCAAACATACTTTCATTATTGTTTTCTTGTTTAGTGTTATAAATATCTAAAAAGTAGTTTATTTTATAAAACTTTAGAAAGATTTTACACATTATATGATGTAAATGTATATAATATGTCCATGAAGTACATAAGACTTTACTTGACTTTATTCAAGTACATTAAAATTTTTATTTGTGAAATAGTTTGCATTAGATACCACCAAGGTGCTTTACCCTTATTACTGTAATTTTGCTCTTCTTACGTTATTAATTCTGAATAAATAAACCATAACTAAAATTTGCATAATGCCATTTATGGCTTCTTCCTGAAGTTAAACGTCCAGGTCTGTGATTGCTGAATTGGTTACTTGTAGCAGCCTGCTCGTAACAAGTTTCTATATGTGAAAACATTTTTTTTTAACTTTATCCATCTAAAATTTATCTATATAAATATTTATTTTTTTTACTTTGAAAAGGTATCGATATTGAATCTATCGTGCCCTATGCGAAACGACCAAACAGAATAACCCTACCAACTCGTAAGTATTTTTTGTTATTTCAGTTTGATAATGCGCATTTTTGTCATTTTGTTCAGCAGAAATATAAGTATTATTGTGAGATATAGGTTTGTGGCTGTCTCTTTAAATAATCACTGCAGATAAGTAGAAAGAAATTGACAATTTATTGAATAATAATAATAATACAGTGTAAAGGAAAAATTTAATAGCTATAGAAGTTCAAATAGAACTCGGATAATAAGCAAATCCTCCTTAGCACAAGAGAAACATCATAAATTACCAATAGCGACCTCATAAAACAATTCAACTAACTTTCTTTGAACTGTCAGATTTGAGTATCAACTGATGTTCTGGCTCTTGGAGCAATATTTCTATAGTGTTGCACGGGGTTCTGGAAGCTTCAAGAAAAATCGGTCTACCACGAAAATGTGACCCAAAAACCTGAATCTTCTGGAGCAAATCGCTAAATGTGGCCAAGGATCGTCAACACCCCCACCACCCAAGCTACAGAACAACAAAAACACTGGACAAAGTAACAGATGTACAACTGATAAAGAAAAAAAACACCCAGCCAGCACGCCCACACCAGTCCCCACAACCACCACCACCCCCCCCCACCCAACAACCCCCTACCCACAACACATCTGCCTGAGACCCAACACACCACCAGTGCTGCCCCGAGAACCCGCCCACACACAATCCAGCCACCCTCCTCTCACTCTACACAAAAAAGTGGGCAACCACGCGCCCCCCAAATCAAAACAATCCACATCTGAGTCAACGCACACGTCCTCTTCTCTCAGTAAACCCGCCCCCAACTAAAAAAAAAAAAACAAAAACCATAGACAATAACTAGCATACACTCAACAACCAAAACCCGAAATAATCTGCCGCTGCACTTCCCAAACACACTCCCATAAAACATCCCCCAACACACCACACAACCAACACCACAAGAACCACCGAACAAACGCGCACCTACTAAACACCTTAAACAACCCACAACAGCACCGAAACAACACCAACCACCACCCCACAAAACACCACAACCAACCCATGACCCCTCTTCCTCCCCTAACGCCCCCCCACCACCCACTGCCTCCCCACAAACATTGTGGCAACCCCAATTCCCTTAGACCCCCCAACACACACCTTAGCCTCATTAACAGCCATTTAAAAAAACAAGGTAAAAAAAAAACAAAAAACAAAACCAAAACAACACAAAAACAACACAACCCACAAACACACAAAAAACAATAACCCACACCAAAACCCCCACAAAAAAAACTACACACTCTATAAAACCTCAGGCCCAGGGGAGGCACACATCAAACACCCGCCCAATGCATTCCACAAAACCCCCCCACCAGACGTATTCTCGTCGGCCGTTCCCTATTCCCCCCACCACTTACTGCACCACTCTTTCTGGTGGGCCGGTCCCACCCCCCTATTATCCCCCCCGACCCCTTTTGTCTTTCCACACGCTCTTGTTCATCCCACAAGGACGCCGTCTCTTTCAAGCACCCCCCCCCTCGGCCCCCCCACTTGGTTCTGCACGACACCAACCGCCCACCCACTACCCGAGTAAAGCCACACCCCGTCCCCAATAAAAACACCCCCATAAACACACTATTGAAGAACAACAAAACCAGTAACACCCAAACAAGGCCTTTCACGGCCCAAAACCACATATCTAACCTCAGTCACCATAAAACCCCCGATTCCACGCAAATCCACGCAAGACACCTCCCAAACTACAAAATAAAAACATCCAAACAACACACACCCAAAAACACAAAATTCCTAAAACCATATTGACCAGTCCAAACCACCACATCGCTCATGATTGTTCTTCCTCTTTCCGCTGTCATTACACCCTACAAACTAACCAACACATACCCCTCCCGTCTCCGAACTCAAAACGTTGCAACACCATCCCCAACCCCCAATAAATTGTCACCCAACGATAGTATGCTAAAACTCGAATTCATCTATATGTAAAAACCAATGCAACAAGTTTCCCATAATCTCACATAAAAAAGAATATGCAAACCGCAACACACAAAAAACACACAAAGAACAACACACAAAACACAAACAGCAAAAGAAACACCAGCTCCATAGAAACCACACAAACCCAGATATCCAAGTTCCCGTAATTCAAGTTGTCCCAACAGAAAACCCCAACAAAGCCCCCAAGGAAACAAACACTCTACAGAGACCCCCACACTTACCCCAACCTCCCATGTCGAATTTACAACCGAAAAGACTCGCAAACACATAACACCACTAATCAAACCAATTGTAACGCATCACCCTCCCACTCCCTATCAACAAACAACACAAACCACACACCTCACCACCAACCCAAAAAACGCAACTACCAACAAACACCACCCCAAAACACCATCCTCCATTCCCCCGACATCCTTTCAGAAACCTACACACCACCCACCGAACAACACACACAAAACCAGGAAAGAGATCCCACCATATCCGATGTACACCCAAACCTACGCACCAAACCTAACCCAGATACGTCCCACACAGATCCCCCAACTGCCGAGAAAAAAACCAACGTATTATGTGTAACTTACAATCAATCATGTGGAAGAAAAATCAACCCTTTCCCCAAACCCCGTACCACCACACTCCCAGAATAGACATGTCGAGAGACTACTGCATTCTATGGACATTACATCAAAAGAAATATACATGTCATCATCCAACACCATAGGGACTCTTGTTATTATTAGCTTTATTGCCCGCACACCAACCCATAAACATAACTACGATCAATAATAACACACTACCCTACACAACCCGAACAAGAAATCAGATTTGCAATCCCTTATTTCAGCTTACACTCTATATAAAAACAAACACATTACATTTTTATTTCATCCACCTTACACGCTCAAGCGAGTTTCAAGGGATATGCCCTTGCCAACATACCACCCCGGCATTGGCGACGAGAGACTTTTTCTTTGGCTTTTCAAATCAATTAATTACCTACTTTGTTACTGAACACCACAACAAATAATTTCATGAATCATCTGAAGTTTAGGGTTTGCCAGTGCCAGAAAAGAGAAAAATTAAGCAAGTATGAATTTACTTTACAACCCCCCACCTTAGGGGCCAAGCAGAATCAATCGATGACCATGGTGTTATGACTCATGTACTCAATTCCACGCCCTCCACCCCGCGAACAGACTGGCTAACGCGGGCACCTTATTCTGGTTTTCCCTGCATAACATGTATACCAACCAGCAGTTTTACGTAGTAAAGTTCCCAGTACCAACCACATCGCGCAAACCACAAACAAACACCAAAAGCAAAAACAACAAAGTAACAAGCCAAAAAAAAACACCAACAATACGTCTAGTGTTTTGCCCGACTAATGCAATTATAAACACCGTAGACCTCACCGTAGATATTGTCAGTTAGTATGCCCTCATAAATTCCCTCACCCTCCTCCCACCCCCCCCGGCCCCCGCGGGAACTCATATATCTCCTTATCTTCCAGTAGACTCGCAGAGTACATCAGCCCAGTCAGTAGTTACACGCAGTTTACAATAATACCGTCATCTTACTCAACGCACTCCCCCCAGCCCCGCAAGGAGTGCATATATCCATCACCCCTCAGCACGAAGACAATCAAATATGGTATAAACAAAAATAACAAACTTTATAGTATACACTTGATGTATGAAAAATTTTGAAGGAGGTATAATAATAAAGAACAGTCTAATAACAAACCTAGTCTGTAACAGAAATATTACAAAGTGTTAAGAAGAAAAAATCTACCCTCTGTCCGTTCCAAACTCTACTGATTCACCTAGCTTTTGACACTCCCAACATATGAGCACGCACAGTTTTATAATTGCCTTACCGTAAAAAGATAGACTAGACCTTACAATATGCAAGATTTCAATAAAAAAGTTTCAAAAACTTTATAAAAGTTGTTAATATTTCATTGGTTTTAATCACGGGGAAATTAGAACCTTCGAATTGTCGAAGTTAATACTAAATTATCATCTTTTTGTAAGGGAAGTAAATAACTTTTTTTTTGCAAGGAGGTGTTATCAAATATGAACTAAATTCTATTAATGTATTGGAAATATTAAATTAGAACTTTTAATTAAAAAACTCCATTTTTAAATAAAAGTATCTATTTGCTAATAAATACAAAAATATAAACCTCTAATAAGATTTGTTAAGTTTAATACATACTAAAATGTAAAAATGTTATTTAAAAGAGGTTAATAAGATACATAATAGAAATTTACTGTAAATAGAAATTAGTGAAATTGACATCCCAATCTACTGAAAAAAGTGTTTACTTAGCCTGTTCATGAGCTAAATTTTTACTCAGCTTGGTTCAATTCAACTTATTAATTCTTAGCCAATTGTATTTTTCCAAACCTTGCCAGCACTGAAAGTTTAGAATACAGTGCACTAGGCTTTAATGTAGTACATAATAAAGGAAAAATATCTTGCATAGTTTTTAAAAATGGGTTGTATACATTTGAATTAGTAGTCATTCTATTACAGTTGCCAAATGCTATAATAATGTCAAAGCTGAAATTATCATTATGCATATAGAAGTAATGATTTTTTCTTATATTGAATATATCTATTTGTGTAATATCTGCTTTGCTTTCCTTAACAGTTTAATATTATGCAATAGGTGAGATTTAAAAGTTCCTTATCAAAAAGCAGTTGTCTTATTTAAGCACATGGCTATTCCTTTAGTGAAAATTTCATTTTGAAGAATTTTGTTAATTATTTTTGTGCATTTCAGCTGCATCACTGCCTAGGTCATCAATATCTCGAATTCTTCAAGCAGGGGAAAAGCGATCTCTGCCGAGTTACATACCGGAACATTACCCACCATTTCCAGATCCTCATACTTATATAAGGACTCCTGTAAGTGACAGAATTTTTTTTTAAATAAAGGACTTTTTAATTTTAAAATAACTACTTTTTTAACATTTAGTACAATGCATTGGAAGTTCATGCTTAATAATTCCAATAAAAAAATCAGATGGCATAAAACATGATTTTTTTAAAAAGTGTGTAATGAATGCACAGAATATACTTAGTAAAAGATAGCTTCAAGGGTATGGAAGTTAACTGTTATAAAGTCTTCCATGAAAACAGGAATGGATTCCATAATTTCAGTGCTAAAATATGCATTAAACATGAAGATGTTTACAGTTACATGTAAGGGCCGATATAGTTACAGTTACTCATAGGTGTCAATAACAGTTATTCAGTTACAGTTATACAGAGACTGAACCCAAATGTTGCCAAATGATCACTAAGTTGGCTACATTGGGGGATTTCTCACCAAATTCTGTGACACAAAAATGTTGCCGAAACCATCGCCAGCTTGGCGATATCTCCCCAATTTAGCAAGATAGACATTTACCTCAATGTTAAATAGACTCGCCTCTGCAATCTTATTTTTCCGACAGAGCTTTCTCTCTTCAGACTTTTTATGTTACATTATACAAAAGATACTACAATCTCACAATCACGCTTAATTTGTTTAATTTTTAGAAATCATTCCAACTGGCTCATTTAATAAACTTTATTTGACTATGCACATAACATTTCTAAAGTAAAACATACTTAATGTGTGTACATACAGTTATAGAATTTATATAAAACAATTATACACAACTTTAGAACAAAGAAATATAAATTTAAATAAATATTTCATCTGATTGAAAGGATTTAATTTACAATATCACAAATATTACATGTATTACACTGTCATATTTGGAATCTAAATGTAGTCACTAAAATTATCACTAACGTAGTCTGCATTACATTGCTTTTAATTTAAAGTATCTTCTGTATTTTTTATTTATTTTTCTTTTAAAGACTCATCGGCAACCTATTACTGAATATGAAATCATCAGGGAGAAAGCTGCCACTCAAAAAAGAGATATTGAAAGAGCACTTACCAGATTTATTGCTAAAACTGGTCCTACTCAGTCTTTATTTCCAGATGATGTAACACTTTTTCCACGTAAGTATCCTGAATTGATTTGTTATGAAGTTTTAACTCAAGATTGAAACTGAATCATATTAATGCTGTTATTACATGTGCAAATTCTGTAGCCTTAATCATAATTGGTCTTGTAAATTTCTGATTTACAAAGACTAATATGTGGAACTGCTGTTTTAAACTTCTGAAAAACAGAACGCTAATAAAATTTATTACACCTGGTCATAAACTGAATGTAATTATTTGTTCTTCTCTACTGGTACAGATGGAGATAAAAAAATAAATACTGTGAAAAGTCATTAATTCGGACACCCATAATCCGGAATGATCTATAATCCGGACCTCAAAGCTACAAACTTTCTGCACATACCTCGCGTTGATGCATGCTCGTAAAACCTTTACGGCTGCGAATATGCGTATGCGCATGCGCAAAATATGTTTATGAATGCGCATTTAATGTATAACAGACGGTATAAGCTAAGCTAAAATTATCTAATTCAGTTAATGTTGCAGATTGCGTTGTTCCTTAATCTTCGAATTGTATCCGGCTTATTATTTTTTGCAGACTGTTAGAGCAATTCTATTAAAGTAAGGTTGAACTTTTGATTATGTCAAAAAGAATTTCTGATATATATTTACTAATATGTAAGGGATCTACAAAGCGCAAGTATGTTTCGAAGTCCATTAAACAAAAAGTGGAATTGCTGCAAAAAATAGATAAAGGCATATCCTTTGTTTATCTAACCATTCCGAAATCTGTTTATCAATTTCACGCTGCTCTGCGTGTGTTTGGGGCGGGGAACATCGCGGCATGCAATGAAATGGAAGTTGATCTGTCAGCACTATCCTTATCTTCAGGGCAGATGTTTTTATTTTATTTGGCTTATAATTCCTTACAAAATTGTAGTATTTCATCTGGATGTACTCCAGCTTTGATATGATTTAAATCAAATTCCTCGTCATTATAATTCGCTTCCGATAGCGAAGAAAGTGACACAGAGGTCACTTTCTTCGAAAACGAAAAAATTTCGATTGACAAATTAGTCGGTATTCTCAACACAGCAATTACAGGACTTGAACAGCGGAACTTTGTAACTGAACAAGAAATTATGTCTGTTTATAGAATTAAAGAGAAAGTATTATCACATAAAAAATGAAGCAACTTAAACAACTTACATTGAAAGAAATGTTTAATAAAGTAAACAAATAAATATTAAGCTTTTTTTTTTTTTTTTTTTTTTTTTGTAATTTTGATACCCTTTAGATCATAATTGTTCTTTATTTCATAACTGTTTCATTTTTTTAATTTTATAATTTCTGCATGCCATCTTACCAGATTTAAACTGATGATCTATAATCCGGAAAAATCGATAATCCGGAATTGCCGACGAGTCTGGATTAACGACTTTTGACTGTAAATAAATAAACATCTAGTGAAAGAGGATGTAAATATGCAATTTGATGAAGTTGTTTCAAATGACCGGACACTCACAACTTAATGCATTCATTGGGAAAAGCCGGTATCATCGGTCATTTAACCATCTCATCAGTGGAAATGTTGTCTGAGGTGCACCACAGGGGGCAGCCAATTTTTACATCTTTGAGAATGAGGATACTCTGTTTCAATTTGATGGGGAACACCCCAGGAGACTGGTCTGAGGGATTTACACACCTCTTTCCCTATAACCAAGCCTCTGAAGAGGTATTTCACCTCTCCAGTATTTGAAGTGCCCCATGCAGCACAAACACTGTACCCTTACAAACATCTAAGCCATCTCCAGGATTCAAACCCGAGCTCAGTGATACAGCAGACAGGTGTGCTAGCTATCATACCAATCAAGGGAATAAAATGATGAAGGTGCATTGGTTATCTAATTAGAAAAAAGTTTTGTTTAAAAAAAATTTTGTTGTTGTTGTTGTTGTTAAAAAAAAAAAGTTTTGTTAATGTTAATAGTTGTTTCAAACAATTTAAACAATATTGTTTGAAACAACTATGAATATTTTAATTTATCTTAGCAGGAGACAGATTCAAATGTTGTTCATATACTTGTTGTATTTGGGTTTAAAATACTGCAGGCATGTTGTTGTTTTTCTATATACAGAAGATTGCAACAAACACACACAAAAGAAAAATTTTGGAGCACTTAATATTTATCACTTGTTTACGAATTTTCTTCCAAGTTACTATGGAACATAATTCAAGAGACAGATGAGAGTTCAGTTGTTAACATTCCATGTGTTCTTAAATCAACCTGGATGTTGATGCTTTAAGAAATTCACACTTTCCTTTGAGTATCTTATTTTTCTCGAATTACTGACATATAATGTAATAATAACAGCCTTTAAGAAAACATTGGCCTTTTTATGGAAGCAGTTGAGCTGTTAGAACTGGAACTTATTTTATTATGTTACATTTTCTTATATATAAATGTGAAACGAACGTCTAAAATAATCCTCTATGAAGACTTTTGGGTGTGCCTATATTTAGTTTTATCCAAACTTTCTTTTATCTTTAAAATTTTGTCTTTTGCCATTGTCCTGATAAGGTTAATTCACCTCCGCGTTCTCATTCGAATATAGTCGAAACACTAACTACAACTCTTAGATCACTTCTTACTTCAGGGAACATCTAAAAATGGTCTTTTCTGAGTCTTTATTAATATAATTATTGTTACTTTGGTGACTTCTATCATGCAGATTATTCTCAGAATTCATAATATAAACATATACAGTCAAAAGTCGTTAATCCGGACTCGTCAGGACTTCGGCGATTCCGGATTATCGATTTTTCCAGATTATAGATCATCAGTTTAAATCTGGTAAGATGGCATGCAGAAATTATAAAAATTAAAAATATGAAACCGTAATTTATGAAATAAAGAACAATTATGATCTAAAGGGTATCAAAATTTACAAAAAAAGCTTAATATTTATTTGTTTACTTTATTAACCATTTCTTTCAATGTAAGTTGTTTAAGTTGCTTCGTTTTTATGTGCTAATACTTTCTCTTTAATTCTATTAAACAGACATAATTTCTTGTTCAGTTACAAAGTTCCACTGTTCAAGTCCTATAATTGCTGTGTCGAGAATACCGACTAATTTGTCAATCGAAATTTTTTCGTTTTCAATAACCTCTGTCACTTTCTTCACTATCGGAAGGGAATTATAATGACGAGGAACTTTTTTAAATCATATCAAAGACGGAGTACATCGAATGAAATACTACATTTAGTAAGGAATTATAAGCCAAATAAAATAAAAACATCTGCCCTGAAGATAAGGATAGTGCTGACAGATCAACTTCCAATTCATTGCGCGCCGCGGCGTTCCCCCGAGAGCAGCGTGAATTGATAAATTGAAAAAAAGATTTCGGATTTCGAAACATACTTTCGCTTTGTAGATCCTTTACATAATAGTAAATATATATAGGAAATTCTATTTGACATAATGAAAGTTCAAGCTTACTTTATAAAATTGCTCTAACAGTCTGCAAAAAATAATAAGCCGGATCCAATTCGAGATTAAGGAACAACGTAATCTGCAACATTAACTGAATTAGATAATTTTAGCTTAGCTTATACGGTCCGTTATACATTAAACGCGCATGCGCACACACATATTCGCAGCTGTAAAGGTCTTACGCGCACACGTAAACGCCTATGCGCATGCGTCCACGCGACGCATGCGCAGAAAGTTTGTAGCTTTGAGGTCCGGATTATAGATCATTCCGGATTATGGGTTTCCGAATTAACGACTTTTGACTGTAGTACCTACTATCTATATACTGAGTAACTAAAACTGATTTTTACTTCAAACACTTATACTGCTCATGCATTGCGAATGGTGTGGTAGGAAAAGGTTTATTAAGTTTAGGATATGGTGGACTGTTAAGATTAAGGGTAGTTCATTTTGAAGTTGCCAGAAGATTTATTAGTGCAACAGTATTGAAGATGGCACCTGATCATTTAAGAATTAAAGTATTCTTCTTTTTATTTTTGGTGTAGAATATTCAGTCACAGTAGCTGAAATAAATCACCCATTCCTAATTATCATGCTATGTAGCAGTATGCCAATATCAAAACTGAAGGGAGTCTGTGCAGAATTAGCTATTCTCATGGAGGTAGGAAGTAAGATGGAGTCGCCCTAAACAAGTTTCTCCCATACCCTGCTCTGAAGCACCGGCGATCCCTACGTGGTGACCAAAACATTGGGTCATTTACCATTGAATTCTATGGGATTTGATGCGTTCGGATGTAAATATTTTGTAATTACGTCGTAAATATACATATAAATGTATATATTTTCTTTTTCTACAACACTTCAGAGTCCTAAATATGTGAAAAAAACATATTTTAAACAACATTCATTCTGAACGGAAAGTAAATGCTATTACTTTTCCAGGACCGTTTCTCAGAATGGTTTAATTTGAATGAATATTTTCACAAGTTTTCGTTTAATTACTTAGAAAAAAAAATTAAGGTAATTCGATTTTATTTCGGTTTAAGGTACAAAAATCAAGATAAAAAGTTTATTGTTATTAATATTATGCATTATTTCTTTTTATTTATAGATCTTCTTTCTAAAATACTTTCTTAAATATGACATGTTTTTGGCTCTGAGCATCTTTTAAATTGAAAAATGTAAGTCAATTATAATTAATGCTTATTCAGTTCATTTTAAATTACAGAATATTAGGAATTAGAAATTAAAGTATTTGCTAATTCCAATAATTAAATAGTTATTAAATACACTTGACTTTCTCTGAACATTTCTAAAGGGATATAAAATAATTTTTTTTTTTTTTTTTTTTTTTTTTTTTTTAAGTATGATTTAAAACTTGTAACTGAGTTATTATAAAATGTAAAGGGGAATAATTCTTTTTTAAATTAATTATCAGATTTTTTTACCCTTCATTTCAACAAACATATTCCAAAACTCTTTATTACATTCTTAAGTGCGCATCTCATAGCATTTGCTTTACATTTTTAACAGATTGCTTCCAATACGAACAATCTTCGTA